GGAATGTTGCGAAGAGGTCGGCGAGACGAAAGTTGCCGTTATTTTAGGGCGTTCAGGAAGTACGTAGGCGTGTCGAGAGTCGTGTTGGTGAGGGTGGAGTGGATGGTTTGTGGTTAGCAGAAGGTTGAGTGTGATGGTGTGGTTGGGAGAGAAGCGTTGCGTATGGGTAATTTGAGTTGGGTGGAAGGAGCAGATGGGTGCGTGGTTGGACGGAGGTCCGTTGGGAAAGGAAGGGGCAGGAGTTAGGCGTGATGAGAGGTGGTTGGGTTTGTGGAATGTTGCGGAGAGCTCGACGAAGGGAGTGTAGGCATTGTTTATGGGCGTGCAGCAAGTGCGTAGTTGAGGCGTCAGCTGTGTTTGTGAGGGTGGAGTGGATGGTTGGTGGTTAGTAGACGTGTGAGTGTGATGGTGTGGTTGGGAGAGAAGCGTTGTGTATGGGTAATTTGAGTTGGGTGGAAGGAGCAGATGGGTGCGTGGTTGGACGGCAGTTCGTTGGGAAAGGAAGGAGCAGGAGTTAGGCGTGATGAGAGGTGGTTGAGTTCGCGGAATGTTGCGAAGAGGTCGGCGAGACGAATGCTGCTCTATTTAGGGCGTTCAGGAAGTGCGTAATTGAGGCGAGAGTTGTGTTGGTGAGGGTGGAGTGGATGGTTTGTGGTTAGCAGAAGGTTGAGTGTGATGGTGTGGTTGGGAGAGAAGCGTTGCGTATGGGTAATTTGAGTTGGGTGGAAGGAGCAGATGGGTGCGTGGTTGGACGGCAGTTCGTTGGGAAAGGAAGGGGCAGGAGTTAGGCGTGATGAGAGGTGGTTGGGTTTGTGGAATGTTTCGGAGAGCTCGACGAAGGGAGTGTAGGCATTGTTTATGGGCGTGCAGCAAGTGCGTAGTTGAGGCGTCAGTTGTGTTTGTGAGGGTGGAGTGGATGGTTGGTGGTTAGTAGACGTGTGAGTGTGATGGTGTGGTTGGGAGAGAAGCGTTGCGTATGGGTAATTTGAGTTGGGTGGAAGGAGCAGATGGGTGCGTGGTTGGACGGCAGTTCGTTGGGAAAGGAAGGAGCAGGAGTTAGCCGTGATGAGAGGTGGCTGAGTTCGCGGAATGTTGCGAAGAGGTCGGCGAGACGAATGCTGCTCTATTTAGGGCGTTCAAAAACTGCGTATCTGAGGCGAGAGTTGTGTTGGTGAGGGTGGAGTGGATGGTTTGTGGTTAGCAGAAGGTTGAGTGTGATGGTGTGGTTGGGAGAGAAGCGTTGCGTATGGGTAATTTGAGTTGGGTGTAAGGAGCAGATGGGTGCGTGGTTGGACGGCAGTTCGTTGGGAAAGGAAGGGGCAGGAGTTAGCCGTGATGAGAGGTGGTTGGGTTTGTGGAATGTTGCGAAGAGGTCGGCGAGACGAAAGCTGCCGCTATTTTAGGGCGTTCAGGAAGTACGTAGGCGTGTCGAGAGTCGTGTTGGTGAGGGTGGAGTGGATGGTTTGTGGTTAGCAGAAGGTTGAGTGTGATGGTGTGGTTGGGAGAGAAGCGTTGCGTATGGGTAATTTGAGTTGGGTGGAAGGAGCAGATGGGTGCGTGGTTGGACGGAGGTCCGTTGGGAAAGGAAGGGGCAGGAGTTAGGCGTGATGAGAGGTGGTTGGGTTTGTGGAATGTTGCGGAGAGCTCGACGAAGGGAGTGTAGGCATTGTTTATGGGCGTGCAGCAAGTGCGTAGTTGAGGCGTCAGCTGTGTTTGTGAGGGTGGAGTGGATGGTTGGTGGTTAGTAGACGTGTGAGTGTGATGGTGTGGTTGGGAGAGAAGCGTTGCGTATGGGTAATTTGAGTTGGGTGGAAGGAGCAGATGGGTGCGTGGTTGGACGGCAATTCGTTGGGAAAGGAGGGGGCAGGAGTTAGGCGTGATGAGAGGTGGTTGGGTTTGTGGAATGTTGCGAAGAGGTCGGCGAGACGAATGCTGCCGCTATTCAAGGGCGTTCAGGAAATACGTAGGCGTGTCGAGATTTGTGTTGGTGAGGGTGGAGTGGATGGTTTGTGGTTAGCAGAAGGTTGAGTGTGATGGTGTGGTTGGGAGAGAAGCGTTGCGTATGGGTAATTTGAGTTGGGTGGAAGGAGCAGATGGGTGCGTGGTTGGACGGCAGTTCGTTGGGAAAGGAAGGGGCAGGAGTTAGGCGTGATGACAGGTGGTTGGGTTTGTGGAATGTTGCGGAGAGCTCGACGAAGGGAGTGTAGGCATTGTTTGTGGGCGTGCAGCAAGTGCGTAGTTGAGGCGTCAGCTGTGTTTGTGAGGGTGGAGTGGATGGTTTGTGGTTAGCAGAAGGTTGAGTGTGATGGTGTGGTTGGGAGAGAAGCGTTGCGTATGGGTAATTTGAGTTGGGTGGAAGGAGCAGATGGGTGCGTGGTTAGACGGCAGTTCGTTGGGAAAGGAAGGGGCAGGAGTTAGGCGTGATGAGAGGTGGTTGGGTTTGTGGAATGTTGCGAAGGGGTCGGCGACACGAATGCTGCTCTATTTTAGGGCGTTCAGGAAGTACGTAGGCGTGTCGAGAGTTGTGTTGGTGAGGGTGGAGTGGATGGTTTGTGGTTAGCAGAAGGTTGAGTGTGATGGTGTGGTTGGGAGAGAAGCGTTGCGTATGGGTAATTTGAGTTGGGTGGAAGGAGCAGATGGGTGCGTGGTTGGACGGCAGTTCGTTGGGAAAGGAAGGGGCAGGAGTTAGGCGTGATGAGAGGTGGTTGGGTTTGTGGAATGTTGCGAAGAGGTCGGCGAGACGAATGTTGTCGCTATTCAAGGGCGTTCAGGAAGTACGTAGGCGTGTCGAGAGTCGTGTTGGTGAGGGTGGAGTGGATGGTTTGTGGTTAGCAGAAGGTCGAGCGTGATGGTGTGGTTGGGAGAGAAGCGTTGCGTATGGGTAATTTGAGTTGGATGGAAGGAGCAGATGGGTGCGTGGTTGGACGGCGGTTCGTTGGGAAAGGAAGGGGCAGGAGTTAGGCGTGATGAGAGGTGGTTGGGTTTGTGGAATGTTGCGGAGAGCTCGACGAAGGGAGTGTAGGCATTGTTTATGGGCGTGCAGCAAGTGCGTAGTTGAGTCGTCAGTTGTGTTTGTGAGGGTGGAGTGGATGGTTTGTGGTTAGCAGAAGGTTGAGTGTGATGGTGTGGTTGGGAGAGAAGCGTTGCGTATGGGTAATTTGAGTTGGATGGAAGGAGCAGATGGGTGCGTGGTTGGACGGAGGTTCGTTGAGAGAGGAAGGGGCAGGAGTTAGGCGTGATGAGAGGTGGTTGGGTTTGTGGAATGTTGCGAAGCGGTCGGCGAGACGAATGCTGCTCTATTTTAGGGCGTTCAGGAAGTGCGTAATTGAGGCGAGAGTTGTGTTTGTGAGGGTGGAGTGGATGGTTTGTGGTTAGCAGAAGGTTGAGTGTGATGGTGTGGTTGGGAGAGAAGCGTTGCGTATGGGTAATTTGAGTTGGGTGGAAGGAGCAGATGGGTGCGTGGTTGGACGGAGGTTCGTTGGGAAAGGAAGGGGCAGGAGTTAGGCGTGATGAGAGGTGGTTGGGTTTGTGGAATGTTGCGGAGAGCTCGACGAAGGGAGTGTAGGCATTGTTTATGGGCGTGCAGCAAGTGCGTAGTTGAGGCGTCAGCTATGTTTGTGAGGGTGGAGTGGATGGTTGGTGGTTAGTAGACGTGTGAGTGTGATGGTGTGGTTGGGAGAGAAGCGTTGCGTATGGGTAATTTGAGTTGAGTGTAAGGAGCAGATGGGTGCGTG